TCAAGTCTGGAGTTAATTGCTTTAGTCTTGCCTATGTGGTAAAGACTAGATGTTGTGTCACAGTCTTTCAGGCTGTGGGCAGCAAGAAGTTGTGAGGTGACATTTTTGTTAGAAGTTGACACAGACTCCATCGTAACATAAGCAATTAGATGGTGTTTTTCATAGTAGTGAAGCAATAGGATTAAGACACTAGTGTCGTCATATACTTCATTGATATTTTTTCTTCCAGTTTTGGTGTTCATAACATATTTGTTTGTTGGTGTTTTCAGGTTACCAGATTCATCAAACATAGAGGTGTGGATGGGTGCCATTGGCCTAGCTCAAATGACTTGATAGTTTTCATATCAACATTGGCTTGGAAGGGGGAGGGCACTGGGGATGACCGCCTCCTCCCTTTCCCAGGCTAGAATTTGAAAGCTCTTGACAGCTAATTAAAGTCAAATGATACTATGCCATTATTTAGTGTATATCAAGCATAGAAGATCTCATTTATCATCAATATATTTACATATGTTATTCTGTACCATTGTTTCTAAAGAACCCATACAGTATGTAAATACTTTGGAGAATAAGAGCAAAATGTATATTTTAGTAAAATTCAAAGAATTTTAGTCAAAGTCAAGCTAGTTTTCTTTAAACACAATCTTCTCTTGTTTTTATTATTGGGAATATTGTGCTGAGATGTTCATAATGCATCAGAGAGGATCTAAATCTGAACATTTTTTGAGGGCATGCCCCCCCCCCCCAATCCACGCTTCACGCACAATCCATCCATGTCCAAAAGTCAACCCCCTCCCTTGCGAAATCCTTCTGACGCCCCTGTATTAAGTTGCCGGTTTACCAGGCTCAAACTCAAACTAGAGCACGAGGCCCGATCAGAAAGCAAGTAACCAACTGCTCTTTTTTCTTCATACTTTATTCAATTTCATTGAAATTTTCACAGATAATGTAGAAAATATTAACCTATTAAACAAGACCAAGGCCAATGGGTTAGCATCAATTCCATTGTTATTGCTGTTGCTATGGTGACAATTGTTTTGTGTAGGTGGTGCACCCTGTTTTAAGTCCCGTTTGAAGGCAATTTATTGAGTTTTTCTACATGTTGTCATACCTCCAAATATATCAAATTTACATGTAAGACTACATTTTAACTCATAGTCCTTCAAATTAATCACCACCAAAGTCAATGAAGTTGAGGCAATGTTTCACTGTTTCACTCTGTCCAACCCCTATTCTAACTTTCGAAAATGAATTCTAGCAATATTACCCAACAGGAATCTACTTGTTTAGATTAGTGAGTTCTGAGAAATTGAGGATTTCAGCAAGGGTGCATCGACTTAACATGGGGACATACCTGATGCTATCCCCACTCTTAAGTCAATGGTCAATGGCGTTTTCCCCATGTTCAGTCAATGCACCCTTGCTAAAATCCTCATTTTCTCAGAAGAACAGTTGATTGAGTCTAAACATGTAGATTCATGTGGGATAGTATTGCTATCATCCATTTTCAAAGGTAAGAATAGGGGTTCTTAAACAGGACATTGGGCTTGCTTGCAGAACATTTTGTTGGTACCAATAAGTGGCCTCTATCATCATATCTAACCAGATTCCATTCCAAATGGGATGACGGGTGATATGCTGTCCTTGGAGAAACAACATTCATCAACAACATTCTGTGGAAGTCTCTCCATGTCTCGTAGACAGAACAGTCCTTACTAGTTATATTGTCATGCAGCAAAGAAATATGGAAGCATAGATGAGTCAACAGCAGCCAAATGGAGCAGCCAGTTGCCTTCCCTTTCAGCCCTAACAAGTTGCACCATGATAAATACTGGCATTCGTAGTTTTTCTTTCTGACAATTTAGAGTTAAGAACATCTATGAGTTCCTGGTAGCTGTTTACCTGATGAATTACTTGCCTCGAAAGTTCTTCAACAAGGAGTCTCAATGCTTGAACATTGTTAGGGTAATTCTTGCCTGTTAATCTTGGTTTCCCCAGCAAATTGGTTATCTCTACTTTTCAACTGTCTGACATTAGGATGCCGACACAACCAACAAAACTCATGAGCATGCACATGTCCAAGAGCCTGTTGATGAATGTACAGGGTGGTCAAAAAATGGAAACCCTACATTTTCCTTATATCTTTGTCATTCTCGAAAATTACTCTCTGATATTTCACACATTTGTGCATCTATAATCATTCAATTTCCTACCACTCCACCATATTTCATGACAACCAGACTGATAGTCACAATCTCACAGCACTTAGAATAACATGCCTCAGGTTTGGCCATCATCGTGCTGTAGACAAAACGGCACAGTTATCAATGACCCGAATGCATTCCTCAGCAGGTATGGCCTGAATGACATGGATGGTCTCAGTTTTGAGGTTTGCAATTGTCCTGAGGTCATTCTCATATACTCTATCTCTGCCATATCCTCACAGGTAGGGACATTTTAGACTACAAGTACAGGTTTCCCGACAGCGCAAAAGTGGCCACTGTGGTATGTTCTTTAATGTGCTGTAAAAGTGTGACTATCAATCTGATGGTCATGAAATTCAGTAGGCTTGTAGCAAATTGAATGATGTACAAATACAAAATATCAGGGAGTTATTTTTTAAAATGACAAAGATATGAGGAAAATGGTGTAAGGGTTTCCATTTTTGACCACCCTGTATAATAAAGGTTGTTGGGGTCCAGAAAATGACATCAGTGGCTACTTTGTACAACTGCTGGTGCATTATAAAAATTGTGTAATCTTGCTTATATGTTTGGGTCAACTCCTTTGCCTGATGCATGATGGTTAACCTTGTGCTTGGGTCCACTGGCTTAACATCAAGAAGTGGACTGTAGGCAAGTTTTATTGCAGGTTTAATGATGGCGCCACTAGTCCTAGCTAACCTAGTATTGTAGCCCCCGAATGATGGTGTCCCTGGTACAGATATAACACTTCCAATAAATGGTCTAAGATTTAACCCTTATACAACAGGGATGACCTACTTACACTGTCAACAATGAGTTTCTTTCACATTTTAAACATGTCATCTACCCCCCTCCTCCCCCTATAAAAGGGTATACATTATAATTTTCTGAATTATTTTAATTTAAAGAACCTATCTATCTTACATAAATAGCTTAGTTTGATAGATAGACTCACAGAATCTGCTGATATTATATTTTTCAATGTTTCACAGTAATAACAGTGATATTTTTCATACATATTAATATTGCTGAATACAAGGAAGTCTATATTAATATATTTTTTTCTCTTCAAATAAATAAAGTACAAGTCTCATATTTTCACACTATCTCTGACATGGGTTAATTTAAAGTCAGGAATAATTTCAGATCACAACTTTGTTTAGTTTGCAAAATATGCTTATTAAACATAGTGACCCCTTAAAAATAGGCGGCGCTAGGGTAACAAATCAAGCATATCTCATTAAATTTGTGATTCTATGTAATGAAACAAACTTGACATGTTGTTTAGACTAAAAACAGTTTATCTGAATTGGTTAAAGTTTTCAACTCTACCAACAGCCCTTTAAAAAAATTTTTTTGTGAAATGGGCATTTTACAAGGGGCGCCACCTATACAATGCTGTAAAAAATTTTGCCCACCAGTGCCAGTCCGGCACAGTTCTGATTTTGAAAGTAATTAACATATAGATAAAGAAAATAGAAAGATATAGCATACATCCTAGAAGGCAACCAAAAGTTTCAATATGCCATTATTCCGCTGGACTATTTAGTGTTTCACTTAGAATATTCCATAGATTTTTAATTAACACACAATCATATAATAAATGTCTAATGTCTTGTACAACATTACACTCACTACATTCTTTTGGTACATTCATATTCCACTTATTTACCAGTTTTCCGCAGGCTAAGAAATTATGTAATAGTTAAAATTAAATTCTGATAACTTTTGGCATTCAATATATTTTATCTTGTTTTTGTATATATTTCTAAAAGTGATTCTATCGTTCTGAATATTGAAGGATTTTGTCCAATCTGCTTCCATCTTTGGTCTAATAAATTTATCTTTCAATAGGATTTTATAAAAGAACTTTGAACTTAATTTCTCAAGGTTTTCATATTTGTCATTTCTAAATAGGAAAGAGTTTGAATGCCTTTTGTTAGCATATTTCATACTTTGTTTACTCTCATATTTGATATTGTGCAAAACAAGTCTAATTCTTAAAAATTCGGTCATCCATTTGGCCAATGTTGGCCCAACTACAATTTGCCAACTGCAATTTTGATCCTGCGGTATTAGCGGCAGCCAACGACGGGCCAACGTTGGCCCAACTACAATTTGCCAACTGCAATTTTGATCCTGCGGTATTAGCGGCAGCGAACGACGGGCCAACGTTGGCCCAACTTCAATTTGCCAACTGCAATTTTGATCCTAGATATTAGCGGCAGCCAACGACGGGCCAACGTTGGCCCAACTACAATTTGCCAACTGCAATTTTGCACTGATTTATCGATAGGTGGCTCCCTGGTATTAGCGGCATCCAACGACGGGCCAAGGTTGGCCCAACTACAATTTGCTAACTGCAATTTTGATCCTGCGGTATTAGCGGCAGCCAACGACGGGCCAACGTTGGCCCAACTACAATTTGCCAACTGCAATTTTGATCCTGGTATTAGCGGCATCCAACGACGGGCCAACGTTGGCCCAACTACAATTTGCCAACTGCGATCATGCCAACCAATAGCGACGTTGGCCCGACGTCTCTGTGCTATCTGGGACACAGTCACTCTGTTCTGAACCGTTCCGAACCGTTCCGAAATTGTTCCATTCCGAAGCAAAATGTTCCGAACTGAACCATTCCGTTTTTTTTGTTCCGTGACATCTCTATTCATTTGGTGGAATTTCAACTGAGTTGGGGCAACAAGATACATCAGATAAGAAAGAAGCCCCCCTCTTGGCAAAAGCTGAGTATGCGGGTTTGCAGGGACAGATGAGGGAATTATACTCTGTACTTACCCTCCAAGAAGCCATCCCAATATTCTTTCTTGCCGATGCCATTTCATCAGAATCTGTGGCCTCCTTTTCAGCACTATAGTAACACTTCAGCGCAGTTAAGGTCAGGGTGCATGATGGGAAATTTTCTGCATTCCTCAATTGAGTCACATGTTATTTTTCAAACAAGAATCACTCCTTCCCTTCATTGTCTATATCTTCCAGTTTTGCACAAAGAGTGCACTTATGTGCCTAGAAAAGACTTGTGAGAAGAATGTTTTGATAAAGGTTATAAAAAACAAGAAAATTCAGTGAAAAAAATCAGAAAATTTTCAGAAATCTTTTTCACTGAATTTTCTCATTTTTCATACATTTTGCAAAACAAACCTTCTCACAAGGCTTTTCTAGGCACAGAAGTGCACTCTTTGTGCAAACTTGGAAGATGTAGACAATGTGGGGAAGGAGTTATTCATGTTTGAAAAATAACATGTGACTCAATTGGGGAATGCAGAAAATTTCCCAACATGCACCCTGTCCTTAATAGCTTCTCCCGTCTGATTGGTGGAGTGATGTCTTCTGATGCGTTGCCATAGTGTTTGTTGCCTTCTTTGCGCCAATATGTTGAGTCGAATCTGGATTTCTTGCTTGCTTTGTCGGACATATTGAGATCACTGTAGCAGACCCTCAGGCTGTTACACTGGGCTCCAAGCCAGGTGGTTTGTCTCGAAGGCCTGGTTGCTCTTGCCTCAAAGTTGCACACAGGTCGCTTTAGAGATTACTTCAAGCTGAACAGGTTTGTGATCTGAAAACAAACATGCAACATTGTGTTACAAAAATAGCTACTCAAATTGTCAAATAGACAAGACATTCAAAGTGTTGGCATCGCAAACGCCCCCCCCCCCCTAACTATGACTAGATCTACCAACGTGCCAGTCCTCTCGACTTCCTCTTGCACTGTAGAAGGACACCAGTTGTGATTCACAATGTGTGTAGAAATCCGTATGTTGCATTCATTCCTGTGTCAACACTGTAAACTGAAAGACCAGATTGAAGACCAGATACATATAGGGACCAGCTCAAACTTATCCCGTTCCAGGACTATAGTCCTGGTACGGGATAAGCTCAAACAATCTGAATCAATATGCAAGACAAGCAAGTTCTGGTTCTATGCAAACTGACTCTTCCTGGAACCATAACCATTTCAACAGTCACCCCCCCTTCCATCTTTACTTCAGCCACAGAGGTTAGACTTAAATGGGGTAATGTTGTAGTACTCTTGCCCAGTTTTTACTCCCTTTTTCCTACACAATTAGCAAATGAACAACTTTTGAGATAACCCCCGATACTGTCATCACAAAACGGTACAGTAATCTCCAAGCAGAAAACTACAAATGACAGCCCGAGCCTGCAGGCATGCGGACAATCATGTAGTATGCTTTAAATAATCTGCCCGGGAGATTAGGTTATGGAATGTGCAGAATTAATTGGTAAACTCTAAAACATGGTCAGAAGGTGGTTGACAACCAAATCTGGATTTAAAACAATAACTAGATATAGTAGTAAATGTATCAAAATTTCAGAAATCAATTAGAGAGACCTAGGATGAAGAAAAAGATATCTTCATCCTAGGAGAGACTAGAGAGTTCCGTCAAACTCAGATCAAACTATTAACTCCGCAATATCCACTGCTTGTGTTTCAAATATTGCGGAGTTGCGGATGTAGGACCTGTAAATACAGGGTGGTCCAAAAAAGTGAACTGGCACAACGGGCTATATTTTTCTCATTACCACTGAGCAGGAATCCTTTCATCGTTTCACATGGTTAGAGGAAGGTCATACGTTTTAATCTTGTGAAATTTGCAGAATATAAACCTTAACAAAATATTACTGAAAATAGATAAAATATGATCTTCGAAATTCGCGATGCTTCAGCCCCTCAACACCCTTCCCATGGAATTTTTTTTAGCCGTTATATAAGTCTGTAGGCTATGGTGTAAATTGAACTAGCATCTTTCCTCCAGTAGTTGCAAAGTTATTGTGATCCAAAGACTCGAATGATCAATAAAGTTTCCAAAGACGAAAATATCATTTGGTCTTAAAATATCTGAATATCTTTACTAATCATGGACCAATTTTAATGAAATATGGCTCAAAACACTGATCGCTCGGGTCACAAGGGACAACTTTGCCCCATCTAACCGTTTGTGTAGGTAACATGCCTCTTTATCAACGATTATAACTGCTTCAAAATGGTCAATGAAAGTGTGTAAATGTGTTTTCTGTTCACTATAGTGCCCCATTTGTCATATGGTAGGGTTTTAAACGAATTAAGATCATCTAGTGTGTTTGCTTGAAGTCCCCATATTTTGGTTATAGTTAAGTTTTTATATACCCAATCTTATCAAAGTGTGATACGTGAAACTTTTTTTTTAATTTCAAAAAGTTGTTTTTGAAGGACTTTTGTTCGAAAAATCATGAATTCAGTAAAACTAATTTTTAAAGATCACAAGTATCTTTAAATAATTCATACCAAAACATAGCACTCATCCTCATATGTTTTTTTGCCGAAAAATAAGAAAATCGGTTCATAAATAAGCAAGAAATGAACTCATCAATTCATGAAAATGATTCGCCGAAAATAAAAAAAAACATTTCAAAATTTTAGTTCTCATTGAAACCAATGGTACTATAATATGTAAAACATGATATATCATTCCTTTTGACCTGGTTAGACAATCAACATTGGTTTATTTCTGAAGTATAGCATATTAAGAAAAGATTGACATATAAAAGAATTTCAATTTTTTTGCCACAGTGAGTCGTGATGACATCAGTTAGGTTGCAAAATATTTTTGATATGCTAAAATATTGAGGTATGGCATTATTGTTGAAATAGTGTGTCCTTTGTTCAATCTTTGCATTGGTGTTAAAAAGTTAATCTTTTTTAATGTATGGTGAAATATTTGATGATTAAAAATTTCAACCTTTTTTGAAACTTTAAAGTCATGGCAAATAGTAGATGGTCCAAGGGAAAGATCAATACCCGGTGATTTCAGCGGGAAGTGGCGTTTCGTTCTTTGGATGAGCTGCGCGCGCACGCATAAATGTGATTATCCAATATAATTTGGGGAGGGCTATTTGAAGTAGTTTTTGGTCTCAGGCGCGACCCAGGGCTGTTGTCTTAAGGACATTTCGTTGAAAATGAGCCATTCGGCTGATAATTGGTAAGAGTTTGCGATTTTTTTTTTTTTTTTTTTTTTTTTTTTTTTTTTTTATAAGGATGTGCATAAAGAGCTAACAGGCTACATTTTGAGCTCCTGACAATATTGAAGTTATATGAGAAAATACATGAATATTTAGTTTATTTCTAATAGTTACAGATTTATAAACATTTAAGCCAACTGAAAATACACATATCTAAGCAAAAGTTTACGAAAAAAGGACTTTATAGCAGTTTTTGTGAATCAAAACTTGAGACATTGCAGCAAAGTTCAGTATTAACCCTTTCGCACTCAGATTTCCAAGATGACAACAAGAATCTCACAAGATAAACTGAACTCTTTGGTGACAAAAGAAGATTACAAAGCTTTCAAAGAAGAAATGAAGATGGAAATGCGTTCTGTAATTGAAGAATCAATGAAGGAAAGTATGGCAACTTTCACGGCTGAACTAAAAGAGATAAAAAAAGAAAATGAGATGATCAAAACGGATATGAATTCTATGAAAGCCAATATGGCCAAGATGCAAGAGGACATTAAACTCTTAACACTGGAAAATAATCACAACAACCAATACAGTAGGAAGGGACATCTTCGCATATTGGGCATACCAGACGATGGCAACAACATTTCTGAAAAGTGCATTGAAAAGGTAGTGATAGCTGTGAACAAAAACATGGATGGAGACTGTCATTTGAAAGAAGATGACATCGAAGTTGCCCACCGCCTTCCAAATCCGAAACATCAGGAGAACAAACCTCGACCTATGATTGTTCGTTTTTTATCCAGGAAAGTAAGGGACAATCTGCTACGTAAACGCAAGGCCCTAAAGGGCAAACCACTAGTTATCATGGAGGATTTGTCCCCGGGAAACAGATCTTTGCTGTGGAGGGCAAAACAACATGCCGATTCAAAAGACGTGTGGGCGCACAATGGTAAAGTATGGGCCACAAGATCATCAGACAATCGGAAAATCCAATTGGATATATTGGATAACCTAGATGACAAACTTAGAAACTAAAGGGTTAATCCTAGACAGTAGGGATAGCATGATTATCCTAAATGAACTATACCTAATTAACAGACAGTATTTGACTGTTGCCTTTCATATTTCCTTTGAACCCTTTGATATGATCACAATCATAATGAACACTTGACTATGTTGGCCTCACAGCTGATCTGATGAATAGAACTTTATGATGCTTTTATCTGTTTATAGTACTTTAATCCTGTATCAGGAGATAATTTCTTAAGACATTATTCTTGCATTTGAGAATTTTTTTTTTTAACTTACACTTAATCACTCATTAATTGCCATGTATGATCAATTTTACCAACTTGTTTAATGCTTTGAGTAATCAGGAGCTCAATTTAAAGCCAATATTCTTTATGAACTTAAAAACTCTCATTTATTGCAGGATGCACACATCACTGTTATCTGTCTCGGCCTCCCCCTCCCTCTCCATGATTGCATGTACAGTATTTTGGATCTTTGATCCTGGATAATAACAATGCTGAAGTGCCAGGTCTCTGGGATGAATTGCCTTTTGCAAATGCCATGATTGATGTGGTATCTCTTTATACACAATGTGACAGTTTTGTTTTTAATGCACGCGATTTAAATACATTTGCAATTGATAATGTAGAAAACAACCAATTAGATGCACAATTAGAGAGTAATATGAATTCTTGTAATTACCACGAATCACTACATGATATTAATCTTCAATTTAAGAAATCTAATTCTGAACTGAACGTACTACATATAAATGCCAGAAGTTTAAATGCACACAAATCTGACATCTTTGGGCTAATGGCACAATTTGATAAAGACTTTTCAGTTATAGGTTTCTCAGAAACATGGTTGAATCATGGCACAGAATCACTATGTAAACATTTCAAATATGATAGCTATTTTGATCATCGGGATAATAATGGTGGTGGAACAGCACTTTTCATACACAAACACCTTCAATGCAAAGAAAGACCTGACTTAAAATTAGAACATGAAGGTTGTAATTCCGTAACTGTTGAGATAAATAACAACAATGCTAAAAATGTAATTGTTTCATGTATATATAAGCCTCCAGATATTAACATTAACGAATTCAATGAAAAACTTGAACAATTTCTTCTAAAGATGACCTCAGAAAATAAGGCTATATATTTGATGGGGGACACTAATATTGATTTACTAAAAACAGATCAGCATAATTCAACTAACAATTTTATAAATATATTATTCTCTTACAATCTTTTTCCTTTGATATTCAAACCGACCCGTGTCACATCTCACTCGGCTACATTAATTGACAATATTTTCACCAATATTCCAAACATAGCTCTTTCTGGTATCATCATTGATTGTACAACAGACCACTTACCAATTTTTGCAATGACTGAAAAAACGCTTAAGACAACAACAAACAAACAGATCAAATATAGATCAATTAATGATAACTCATTAATGGAGTTTAACAATAAAATGACCAATGTTGAGTGGCAAGAACTTTATAATTGCCATGACCCTAACATAGCATATTCTACCTTTTCTAACATAATACAACACGAATATGATAAGGCATTTCCAGTAAAAGTTAAAAAGGTTAGAACAATCAAAAATAATGGTAAGCCATGGCTGTCCAGCGCAATCATCACCTCATGTAGAAATAAAAATAAACTTTATACAATTTATTTAAAAAGCCCAACACCAGATAATTTACAAAAGTATAAGAAATACAAAAATAGCTTAAAACACATCTTAAGAATAGCTGAAAAAAGATTTTATCAAATGAAATTTACTGAAGC